TTAGTATAAGCAAAAATAAATGTCGGCTATACCAAATATGACTACACATTATGTCTAAGCATTCGTGTAAATAGCGTTTAAGCGTTGTGCCTCCAAAAACTATAAAAATTTTTGTTTATTCCACCTAAAATATTATAATATTATAATAATAAAATAATATAAATTTATGACTTATAAATCGTAATATTTTATATATTTTGTTATAAAATGATGATAATAATTTTTTTTTAATTTTTAAATTGATTTACTATATAGTATATTATGTTTTTTTTAAAACATTTAGACCGCCTAAAAAATTGCCTAAACTTCGATTAGGCGTTCTAGCCTTCTAGGCATTAATTAGGCTGCGTTGGATTGTTGTCAGTCTACACCAGATATTTTCAACACAGTGATCTGCAGCAAATAAACAAAAAAATGTATATCAAACATCAATATCGTTAAATTAGTCACTGTTTGCGTTTAAGTGTGATGATATCTGTGACTTTAAGATAGCTAAATCCTAAATGGGTCGAATCGTAAATGTTCAAAGAAAAGCATTGTGATAAAATTGTGTTTTCATCTCCTATCGGTCTTGAAAAACACATACACACACCTACATGTATGTGAAAGGAAGTGAAAAAGGTGGAGAAAACACATGGAGGACGGGAACATCGAAATTAGGGAGCATAGGAACTATCAGCAATTGAAAATAGAGACAGTGAGATCAGGAGAAGGTGTGACACATTTAAGAGCCTAAAATTGCAAAAGCGTGTAGTTGGTCGAAGTGCGTGTTGTTGCACGTGCGCACATGTGTGAATTTTGTTGAAGCTTGCGTATTTCTCTTTTTTACGTGCACACGTGCCCACATGCATGCCTGGTTTTGCTAGCTATTGAGCTATGACCCCTTAAATATGGTATCAATCAAAATTCCTCTTTTTTGGTTTATATATTTTCTTTTAAGTATTTGTACCTACATAGCATGTGTGCCAAACTAGAGATGCACTTCCAAAATATATGAAAATTTCTATACGTACACACTTCTAACTCTCCAATCTTATCGTCCTAAATCAACTATTATGGAATAATTTAATACTACATCCTTTTCTAGAAAACTTTATAATTATCACTCTTTTTCAAAGCTTAATCATGCTATAATGACACCAATATATTGCCTGGGCCAAAATACACGAAAAGGAACATAAAAGATAAATAATTAGGAGAGATTTAGGTAAGAATTAAATTAGAGAGTACGAAAAGGAATTAAAAAAACTGCAAAACAAAATGTGAAGGCATGTGATATATCATAAAAGCGTAGTCAATAGACCGCTCGGATCTTCTTTGTCACCACTTGTCTGTCGAATGCTTTGACCCATGCACCATCTAATTAGTTATTACTCCCACTAATATAACTTAACATAAATAAATATGCACCACAAACATATACTTAATATATATGATCAATGGGGGTTTATCTTTTCTAGGCTAGATTTGAAGAATATGCCACGTGGGGAACTTTCTACTAGGATGATGTTTATTATAAAATCCAAGTATCGAGTATTCACTCTATATGCGTCGTTCATTTATTTTTGTATGCAGCCAAAATATATACTATAAGGTTTGGTTTTATCACTTTTATATATTTGGATCAAATGAAAAATGTATGGATACGAACGCTGCATGTCATATTCCCTTGTTACATAGTGGCATTGTATGAAGAAAACAGTTT